TGACCAAAGACTTCAACACATGACCAAAGACTTCAACACTTGACCAAAGACTTCAACACTTGACCAAAGACTTCAACACTTGACCAAAGAACTTGTTTCAAATCCACAGGTTGTTTAAATGTATCATAATTGATTTTTTTTTTTTTGTATTCACACAGTTTTAATACTGGTCAACAGGATTAAAATACAGCTCAACATATTTTCTTTCTTTTTTTTTAAAGAACAATATCTGCTCTCGTAGAGTTTTAATATAACATTAATATCTATTCTTTTTTTTTTTTTTTTTTTTTGGATGAACAGATTAGAACATTTCATTTATTTGACAATTTTTAGAAAAACGTGTTTGATATAGTCTGTGTGTTAACCTAGTTTTCTTCACCCTGCGTGGTGTCCAGCCATGGCATTCAACCTTACCTCCCCCTTGTTTTGTTTTTTTATTAATGACGTCACCAATTAGCTTGGTGACACGTGCTGCCAATCCTTTTATCCCATCACCCTTGATTGGGCGCCCCACGCTTTCTTTTTTATTCATATGGTTTGTGACTCTTAGGAAAGCCAGTATGAGTTTTAATCACAAAGCTGCCATGTAAACAAACAGACGTAGTTTAAGACTATCTTCATAATCTCATAGAAATGTGGTCCTACAATGCGGTTGTGATATACACTTAAACTATGGAGTATGAAGTATATTTCCAACAATTTTTTTTTAAAAATTGTTTTTATTGAAGCTTTTCCAGACAGCCTGGTCAAAGTCTTCACAGATGGGTCATGCTTCGCAAGGGAAGAACGTAGTGGCTACGGTGCTCTTATCCAGTATCCCAAAGAAATAGCTCCACCCGAGGTACTATCTGGACTCCGTGAGAAAAATAGAACGAGCCTCGATGAGGAGATCGAAGCAATACTGGTTGCCCTCAAAAGAATCCACCAAAGCCTAGCAAACTTCCCAGACGCTGTGACTTCACCGACTCACGCTCTGCTCTTGAGCAAGTGGGAAGTAGCTCTACGGAGACCACGATGGTAAACGCCATTCTGAAGACAGTTGGTAGCATCCATGCCTGGAGACAGTTGGTAGCATCCATGCCTGGAGACGGTAGCATCCATGCCTGGAGACAGTTGGTAGCATCCATGCCAAAGGCGGCAAAGCAATCCTACAGTTTATCGCTTCGCACGTTGAGGTGACGCAACACGACAGGGCGGACTTCTTGGCCAAAGAAGGCGCGGCCCAGCCCCAACCCGATAAACCATTGACTCGGCTGGGAGTCACCGCTTGGTTAAAAGACCACTGTCGTAACGAGTGGTTTAACCGATTGGGCCACAGGAGAAACCAGTCGACAGCTTTACCGGAGAATGCCGCGACCGAGCAAGAGCGACCCCCTGGTGGACGCTTAAGAGAGGCGACCAGAGCCTCATCACCCAGATGAGGACAGGTCATTGCGCGACGCGTAGCTATCTCCACAGACTCGATGACAGAAGGGAACCAACCTGCCGATTTTGCGGTCAGGCACCCGAGACGGTGGCTACGTGGTGGTCGGTTGTCCCAGGGGCGGGAAAGGGGAGAGGGTCGAGACCCGGAAACCTGCATTGAAGATTTGATTTACAGTGACGCCCAGCAGATGAGGCCAGCCGCCACATTAATAGCCAGGGCTATGCGAGAGTAATCTCAGCCCAAAAGTGTAGTGAACATTATTAGTACAGAGACCCGCATGGAGATTTATTTTTATCTTTTTTTGGTGGGCCACAGGCTATCTATAGGGCTCTAGACGATAAATATCTAACGCATTAGTAAATAAGCAGTGGGATAATGTTTAAGTTTGCTGTCCTTATCAATATATTATTGCAGTTTGAAAATAGTACTAATAGTACATTTGTATTTATTTTCTAAGCATTTTACATAAACTCATTCACAGTTATAAATTTTTCATAAAATATTAAACTATTTTAACCAGTCCATTCTCTTTTCAGCCGTCAGCATGAGGCCCGGCTGTAGAATCCCCCCCCCCCTTTTTTGTTTGTTTTTGCGGGCTAATAGTCCATTTCGGCCAGATTTTATTTACCACCCTGACCAGGTGTTACTCAAGTTCCTGAGATGGAGTAGCAATCAACACTGCCATTTTGTCATTGAATTTAAAACTGACAATTAAAAGCATTATTTACTCAGTTCTTGGACACAGACATTAAAATTATTTTCTGAGATTACTTACAAAAAAAAAAAAAAAAGATAAATAAAAAAAAAAAAAAAAAACAAATAGCAATCAACACTGCTATTTTGTCATTGAATTTAAAACTGACAATTAAAAGCATTATTTACTCAGTTCTTGGACACAGACATTAAAATTATTTTCTGAGATTACTTACAAAAAAAAAAAAAAAGTTAAATAAAAAAAACAAAAAAAAACAAACCCCACCAATCTGTGGAGTAACATTAAAACACCAAACACTCAACACTTTGGGACTGGATGGTTTAATGTTCACCTTTCTTACAAGTACCAGTACACAGAGGAGGGGTAAGGGGGAAGAAGGAGGGAAAAGGGGTGTGGAGCTCAACACAGCTAACTTTACAAACATCAATTTGAATTATTTGTCTTGTGTGCAGATGATGTTATCAGTAACAAGGGAAATTGAGGCAAATTCAAAAAGCTTTTCAAAAAAAGAACAAAAAATTATATTAATTTTAAAAAAAAAAAGAAGAAAATTGGGTAAGAAAATTCTTCATGAAAGTATGTTAACAGATCTAATAGCTGGTATGCTGAGACAACTTAATCATCGCATGATTGCACACAATCTACATAATCTTTACATGATTCCACACAATCTACACACTCATTGTGTTATATCATGCAATGCACATGAAATGGATCCTTGCAGTCTACAAACCTTTGCATGATTTCACACCATCCAAAAAGTCATGCACCATCAAACAATCCAAACAATCATTGCATGACTTCACACACTCTGCATAATCTTTTCCAATATTTTCAACAATCCACACGTTCATTTTGTAATTTCAGACAATATTTTCATGATTTCTCACAATCCAAACAATCATTGCATGACTTCACACACATACTACATAATCTTTTACAATATTTTCAACAATCCACATGTTCATTTTGTAATTTCAGACAATATTTTCATGATTTCTCACAATCCAAACAATCATTGCATGACTTCACACACATACTACATAATCTTTTACAATATTTTCAACAATCCACATGTTCATTTTGTAATTTCAGACAATATTTTCATGATTTCTCACAATCCAAACAATCATTGCATGACTTCACACACATACTACATAATCTTTTACAATATTTTCAACAATCCACATGTTCATTTTGTAATTTCAGACAATATTTTCATGATTTCTCACAATCCAAACAAAAAATTGCATTACTTCACACAATCCACATAGATAATCATTGTGTGATATCAAAAAATCCAAATTGTCATTACATTTTTTTCATGCTCACCACATAATCATTGCACCATTCCACACATCAATTTTTTTATGTAAATGTAACATAGCAAAGTTAACATTTGGACTTGTATAACAAACTCGCACATAACACTGATCTGTAATTTCAGAACAAGACCTTATGCTCTCACAACTTTTCATACGTCCCTACACAATAATTCATTATGACTACACAATAATTCATAGTGAAAATTTTTTAAAATACATTCCTACACAAAAATTCATTGTGAATGTTTTTTGTAAATTTTTAACCCTACTCTTCCCACTAGTAGCCACTGTACTAGAGAGTACATGGAAATCCACGTGATCCAAACAAATTGTCAATTTAATGCTGATTCCACCACCGCCTCTTCACTGAGAAAGAGTCCTGTGTCTTAAACAGAAACACACCACAGGATTGAAACAATCACTCTTTGACTTTGAGGATAACTAAAGAATGCTTCAACATTGTAACAAAGAACACTCTTCATCACTTATAAAATATATCAGGCCTGCACAACTCAAAATGTAAGGCAGGCCTTAATACTTTATGTGCTGGCCAAAAGAAAATAGAACAGGGGGGAGAGCTATTAAGAAAATAATAAGAATAAAGTATATTTCGTTACTTCGTGGGCCGCAAAGTGGGTGCTGGCGGGCCCCATGCAGCCCGCATGTTGTGCAAGCCTGATATATATACATATATATACATATATATATATCGGGGTATATTTTTTATTTATTTTTGCAAGCAGACCATTTTGTTCTTTGGTAACAAGTGCTCAATGATGCCAAGATATTTGAAATGTTGAAATAATACAGTCAGAATGTCATTTTACAACACTATATTATGTGGCAAATTTTGATTTTTTTAATGTAATAAATTGAAAGATTAAATTTATTTTTTGAAATACTGTATAAACACTCATAAATTATTTCTGAAAATAAAAGTAGTCTTTTAAATTAAATGTATTTTGATATGCTGACATGTCTTGTTATGAGCAATCTCAACTATGATAATCAAACAATTTCAAACTTCTTTTAAAAATGAAATGAAAAAAAAAAATGTTT